AAGGTTAGAAATGAAGAGGTATTAGAAAGAATAGGAGAACAGAGGACTCTATGGAAGTCAATAAAAAAAGGCGAGATAGGTTGGTAGGACACTTTCTCAGGCATGAAGGTCTAGTCAGAGACGTATTAGAGGCAGAAACAGGAGTTAGGAGAAGTAGAGGTAGACCTAGATTAGATTACTGTTTGCAAATAGTTAAGGATGTGGGATGTTCTAGTTTTAGGGAAATGCGTGTCCATTTTATTATTTTAAAACTAATTAATAAATTAAAAAATACTGAATTCCTCAAAACAGGGATTAAATGTTCCTTTATATTACACAAAATATGATGAAGTTAAAGTTCAATAAAGTCAATCTTTGGAATTCGGCCACTCGCCTACCGTTTTAAATTTCAATTTTTATTATTGTTCGATAAACTCAAGAACTGAAGTTCAATTAAACGATGTCCTAATAATTCTTGCAAGCTTATTAAATTAATTAGTTAATGCAAAATTTAATAATGTCACACATTGTCCTCTCATCATTAGTGACTATTAAATTCTGTACGTAATATTTACAGTTTCTAGTAATTTCATATTATTTAATCGTGGATTACCCATAACAATTTTGAGGCAGACTAAAGGTCAATCTTCTATTTAGTGCTTTTAATTACTTGCTATTATCGCTTCCTTTCTTCGAGAGAAAAAAGAAAGTAGCAAGTTTTCGACAATTAAATGACGAACACATACAGTTACCCCTTACTTTATCATTATTAACTGTTAAAAAAGGATATAACAAAAATCCAGCACAATTTTCTTTTTCATAATTTATCTAAATCACGTTAATTAGCTAAATATGTACTTACAAGAAAGATTAATAGATCCAAATGATAAATACTATCATAAATACTTGTGCATAGTTACGAAGAAATATCACGTTCTTAGCAGAACTTTCCATGTGTATGAATTCGTTTATGACATTAGAGGTATGCTTATTTTTTTAAATTAAATTAAAGTGTTTGATCGTCATCATCATAGGGCTGTCAGTACTACACTTGAGGCAGGTAAATTTTAACTTGTAAGTAGAAGAAACATACGAGGTATGTTTTTAAAGTTCTGAGATTTGTTCTATAAAATAAATTGCGCAGAACTTGTTAATGGCAATGTTATTGATGCCAGAAAAGTCTTGACATGTTTATGCAACTATCTAGTGCAATATTGTTCAGTTTGATTTAGATGTTCGACTGATACAAACGCGTTTTTGTAGCACTGTTTTCGTAACCATGGAAGACGCAGCGAAAACTCTCAAAGAGCATTAATTTTCTTTTTGTGGAAAGAAGGTGTGAAACCATCAGGAATTATTCAGCGTCTGGAATTAGTATTTGCTGAGTCTGCAGAATCCAAAAGTACTGTTTATCGGTGGATCGATCGTTTTAAAACCGGTAGAACATCACTAGAAGACGATCCACGCAGTGGACGCCCAAGCACGTCGGTAAATGAAAGAAACATTACTGCCGTCGAAGACCTACTGAAAGAGGACAGGCGATTGATTATTCGTCAAATTAGTGTGTGCCTAGGGATAGGTACACTACAAGTTCATGACATCTTGCATGATTGTTTGGGCGTTAGCAAGGTTTTGGCGCGCTGGATGCAAAGGGTGTTGGGACCAGAAGAAACACTCAATAAGTTTGATACTTGTTGTCAACTTCAAGAGCTATTAGTCCGTTACGGCTATGAATTTTGGAATTTTGGCAACGAATAATAACCACTGACGAAAAGTGGACTATTTATTTCAATCCTGAGACCAAAAGTCAATCCAAAGAATGACGCAAAGCTGAAGAAGGACCTCCACTGAAGGCGCGTGCAGTTCCGTCTGTTGGAAAGGTAAAGCTTAGTGTGTTGTGGGATTTCGAAGGGATTATTTGGCGAAAGGTACTACAGAATATTATTCGAATTTAATTTCCGAACCACTGCAATGGTTTGAACAATTTACGATGGGAATTGCTTCCGCACCCACTTTATTTCCCGTATCTTGCACCCAGTGATTATCATCTGTTCCCAGATTTGAAAAAACTCTCACCCTGTTGAAAGTTTGACTAACGTAAAGAGGTGGATTGGGGAGACACCGACGAGGACGGCTTAAAAAATTAGTTTATCGTTGGGATAAATGTATTCAATTAAATGGGGATTATGTTGGAAAGTTACATTGTAATATTGACTAAAATAATAAAAATTATAGCTAAATTCCCAGAACTTTGGAAACATTCCTCGTACTGACGACCTGAGCTTACTCGCTCGAATTTCCTTTCGATTAATTAATTATTAGACATCTTGTTCGTCTATTTTATGCTCAGAGAATCATTTTTGCAAGGAATTTTGTTCCGGAACGAGGTGCTTAGTGAGTCGATTAGCAGGAGAAAATTGAAGAAAGGCCAGCATTATCTATCGTTTAATTACAATTAGTTCCAGTTTTCTAGCAGCATATTTTCAAGCTCATTGTCAGGTACGCCGATATTTCTTATGACCGGTATCTTAGCTGACACGGCGATGCCAATGAACTTTAGATTAAATTACTTAC